AACTTCTTCAGAAAGAATTTTTACGGTAAATTAACAAACGACCAGAGACGTAACAATAACGAAAATCGCATTCAAAGTTAAGGTGACCGACCGTCTTACCCCACCTTACGCTACCATATTATTATGTTATTGAGTAATTGAAGAATTATATTACTGTGTTACTAAAGTGTGTTATCGAACTGTCATACTGCTACTACGAGATAACTGTGTACGTTATAGTTTTTCTATATTTCAGTCTAAGTATATCTAACATATTTATATCTTAAACTTCCATCTTCATCTTTTATTCTTTATTGCCCGTTTTAAATCGTGTAAGGATTTGTTCGCCTGCGTTTAGTTGTCTCTTAAATGCAATTAATACAAAACCATTATTTGTATAGTATTGTATTAGTCATTCACAAGTGATAAATAATACAAATTATAACATAGTCATAATAGTTTCAAAATGTTTCTCGTTAATATGGTTGTAAAATAATGAATCCTAATACTTGAATATTCCAGTCATTCTTAATATTTTATTATATTTGAAATGTCCATAGGTTTCAGGTAATATAAGGATTAATTCTACATTTTACCATTCACTGTTATTTTAGTAAATAACTAATATTAATAGTTTGAGTTGAAATGAGTATTTTAGTGAAATATATATTCTAGTGTCTCGTAAGAAGGTCACTGCATATAGGCAGTGTGTTTTGCAGTCCAAACGATTCTGAAATCTTATGTCAGTAAGAAACAATAACATATATTGGATAAAAATGTAGAAAATGTTCCTGTGTAATTCGATACCCGGTAAATAGGCTCCATAAAGTAGTGTAGGCGTATGATATTATTTTCGTGGACTATTTCTTTCGTTTACCAAACATTTTTTTTGATATGCTAGATAATTTGAAATGTAAAATTTACCATTATTCTTATTTTTTCACCTCTGAACTTTGACCCTCAGATATAGATGACCGATCTCCAGGTGGTAAACCCAAACCTCCCCCTAAGCCTACCTCTTTACTTTCTGCGTCAGCGAAACTCAAGCGTTACGAAGTTCCTAAAGGTATATATATTCCTTCTACTATATTTCTCTGGCTTTTTTTCAATGCTTCGCTCCTTTGATCTGCTTCTAGCATTCCTACTCTATTATCTAACGTTTCTTTCCTGTCAAACACGTATCTTGTCAACAAGACTTCGACAACAGAAAGATCGGAGCTGAAACTCTTCAGATAATATCATATAATAGGCCAGTTCTTACTTGTGTGAGTTATGTTCTCAGGTTACATGGTGTGTTATCCAACATGCTGCTACAATCATGAAACTGACTCGTAATCAATATTTTCGAGGAACACATATTAATGCATAGTTATTCAATGACTGGATTAATTCTTTCTTGATTATTTTTTCCTCGGTTTTACAAAGACTACTACGCCAAGTTTGGTTTAAATGCAATTACTAATTGAGGGAAAACTAAATTAAATTAAGAATGGTGTTTATGATGAAACTTTATGGAAAACACTAATTTAAGATACTCTTAATTATGAACGTTTACAGGATACACTTCAGGACTCCAGATTAAGTTAACATATACTATTAATAATGAATGTTTATGTGAAATGCACTTCAGAACTCCAACTAAACAGATACTATGAATGATTTTTTAACACATAACGTTGGTAAATAATTGTGTAAAAAATATGCACGGTCTGTTCTCTACATCACATAATTTAGTTTTAATTGCGAGTCCTCGGCCTTCTTAACGGATCCTACATCGGGCAACAATGTAATTAATAATAAAAATCCGTTTATCTATGAAACATCTTTTAAACACAGGTGTCTAAGTAACAATCCTAACAATACATCACATCTAGTATTAAAGTTATTAAACTATGTAGAAAGTGCTTAAAATGAATTACGACAAGTACAGAATAGACAGAAAATGATTTAAACTTGTACATAAATTCAATAATCAAGATATTGGTATTGTAACTGTATAACAATATACATTGTTGTTTAAAAATATTCAAGATCAAACGATTACTTTGATATAATAGATACAAGAAAAAAGCGCAATCATAGGTATTATATAGAAAAATAAGATGTTCAGGTTACAAAAGATATATTTGAAGAATACATGGGTTCGTCAACTTACAAAACAGTCAAATTTCTTTCTAACGTTAGATTCGGCATATTCTATTAAAACTCACAAGAATTCGTTGACCACATTTTCATATCCAAAGACTATATCATGGCTAGCCTGGACGTAGTTTTGTTTTTGTCAAGGTACGTGCCAAGGATATCACGAAAATAATTACATAGACGGTTGAGTGACGACGTCTAATTTTCAACAAGAACGTCCATCAGTATCCCAGACATCATGAACTTGTTAGACATTTTCTTGATTCAAATTACTACCACTGGAATGGTCGCTTTTACTAAATGTTAGACAGTGGGTTCATCTTCATCATCTGTAGTAGTAGAAATATTAATGCAACATTTTGAACAAACCGTTGTAACACCGTATCTTCATCAACTTCGTATACGGATAAGATACGTGAACGATTTGTTGTATGGATCCATGAAGAAAAGGGACTCAAACCCTTTCATGATCACCTGAGCAGCCAATTAGCAACATAAACTGTTTCATGGAACTTTAAGTCAATAATATTTTTTGTTTCCTTGATGTTCTGGCTCACAAGGTCACGAGCCAAGGAAAGCTGACAACCAACGTTTATCAGAAAGTTTGTTAGTATTAAATTTCGCGCAAAACTACACGAGGGCTATCTGCGCTAGCCGTCCCTAATTTAGCAGTGAAAGACAAGAGGAAAGGCAACTAGTCATCACCTCCAACTCTTGGACTACTCTATTACCAACGAATAGTGGAATTGACCGTCACATTATAACGCACTCACGGCTGCAAGGGCGTGTATGTTTGGTAGGACGGGAATTCAAACCAGCGACCCTCAAGCGCCCTAACCACCTGACCATGCGGAGCTTTACCGAAAAGGTGCTCAAACAAATAAATATTTATGCTTTCATTCATGTTATACAATTTCTGTCAAAACAGGAATTATTAAAATACTAAAATCTTGAGCTGTGAATATGTGTTCCTCTTTCTACCTAGATGAAAAACTTAAACATCTTGAGAAGATTTTCAAGAATAACTGTTTCTCAAAAGAACGATACAACGTATATGGTCAACCTGTCTCAACTACTAATGAACCACAACTTGACGATCGCAACGGCAAGAAATGGGCATTTTTTCCCTTATATAGCAGGCCTCGGGGAAAACTTCGAAGAATAGTGAATAAACTCAACATCACCGTAGTCTTCACAAGTCCTCATTCACTACATGACAGACTTACGAAAGTGAAATACCCAATTTCCAGTCCTCTCATAAAGAACATCGTTTATAGCAGTTGGTGTGGGTAACATCCATATAAATATAATAGTGTTGCCTGTTGCCTATCCATGTAACTACTTCACAGGGTGTGGATGGATCTTCACCAAAATTGGTCCATACAGGGGTACATACAAATTTTAAGTTTTCCTATTTTTATGAGCGTTTTTTCATCACTGCTTCGCCCCCTGTTGATGAATCTTCACCACATTTGGCATGAAGGTTTGTTGGGTCCGTAAGGAGGTATTTGTAAACTTGCGGTTTCACATTCTGTATTTTGCAGTTTTTATGGGCGTTTTTTTACAATTACATGTAAGGGAAGCAACTTTTCATGTCCTAAGATAATCTTTCCTTAATCACGAATTTACATTACTTCCGTCCAGGGGACGGGTACTCCAGTTAGTAAACAATATATTGAAGAGAGACACGACGCCGTTATAGGTAAGGTTCAAGAAACATAAAAGAGAAATCTTAAAATGTGCTACAAACCCATCGGCTATAGCCTTCCACATTTAGGAACACAGCAACATAATCGACTTTAAAAAAATGCAAAAAAAGAACAAAGAAAGC